AACCCTCTTAGATCAACAACTTTTCAAAGCATGAACGGACAGAATTATTTTCAAGTGTTTTTGCTGCCGTAATGTTATTTCTTCTTCAGTTTCACAGATGAGCAGGATTCATGAACCCCCTATCCTAAACCCTGCTAGGTGAAGTACAAGGAGGGGTCCCACTAGCTGTGTGACGTCACAGAGGAGTAATCGAGCGCCCCGGGGGGTCACTCGGTCCTGTTCCGTTTTTAGCCTCGACGGATGCACCGATGCACTCGCTGCATTTTTCATCACCGCTCCACTGTCACACCCTCCAATTCATCCCATCGCGATGCCGCTGTAATGTGGAACCACACACTACCTTTCTGTGAGCTCTCACAGTGGTCAAGGGTAATTACATTACTATTACTCCAAAAAAAAAGCACTCACTCATATCACTGAAGGAGTAATCCTTCATAGTGTGCTGTATTCCGATAAGGACATTAAGTCATCATGAGTATGTGTGATATCCAGCAAATGCTAAAACAACAAAGCAGACAGCTGGATTACATACCAGTAAAAAGTGTTGTAGAAGCAAATGCTAATGTATTCTCAACTGTGAGGGTAGCCATTTTCAATACTCATACAGTTTATAGGGGCCCCACATGCTTTTTATAATGTTCCTTTCCTGTGTAAGGTTTTTGTGGATGTAAATGGTCTGCAAAGGCTAAAATCCTGAAGTGCACGCCAGAGGGAGTTTCCCTCCGCACTAGCAACACTAGCGCTTCTATTGGCTATCTCTCTAACACATTATAGGGCAGGACAGGACATCTCCCAGCGGTTGACCAATCACAACAGAGCCTGCCAGCTAACCAATCAGAGCAGACTGGGCTCTGGTTTCAGACAGAGGGTGAAAAGAGGTGCTGCAGCACAGGCAGTATGAGACAAATAAAGAGCTTTTTGAACATTAAAGCATGGAAACATTTCACATTAGAGGTACGAAATACAAATATAAACCTGTAAATTAGCATAATATGTCTTCTTTTTTTTAAAGCTGAAAGCATGTAAAAGCTTGGACATCTAAAATTAATGTAGGAAAATGGAGAGACACTAATTTTAAATTAATTTGTGTACAAACTACAAAGATGCTTCAAACCTTCATAGTGAACTATAATTGTAGCCTGTCTCTGTAGGACACCTGAGCTGGCACCAAGCCTGATTCTGACCCGCATAGAGTGGAGATGAGGCTCACTGTACAAATCAATTTGACGGACTCATGTGGAGCTAATTAAAGGCAAGCTGTGGCAACTGTCTGAGGCAACTTCCTGCTGTGAAGCCCACAACTGTTGAATTAAACCAACAAGTCAATGTCACCCAATTAGCTAATGCACATGACAACAATTAAATGAGAGGAAGGCTGACTTGACCTTTACTGCTTTTCAATAAACTTGTAAAGCTAATTGCCCTTATAAATCTAGCCAATAAGGCAGAAAATATTTACAGTGCTTTTGAGAATCGACTTAATACCACAAACTGAAGAATAACATCAAAGTATTGCCCTCCACCTGCACTCTAGACCCTCTACCCACAGCCCTTGTCAAATCGAACATCTCAGCTATAAGTCCCATGATCACCGACGTCATCAACAGCTCCCTCAAGGCTGGTCATGCTCCAACAGCCGTCATCAGACCAGTTCTAAAAAAAAACATCGTAGACCCAGATGTCCTCGCCAACTACAGGCCCATCTCCAACCTCCCATTTCTAGCCAAGGTGCTGGAAAAAGTAGTTGCCGCCCAGCTTCAGGACCATCTCCAACCAAACGGCCTCTTTGAGAAATTCCAGTCCGGTTTCCGTTCCGCCCACAGCACTAAAACAGCTCTGGGTCACAAACGACCTGCTGATGGCGGCTGACACTGGTTCCCCATCTCTCCTCATCCTCCTGGATCTGACTGCAGCATTCAACACTGTCGACCATAACATCCTCCAATACATCATCGGACTCTCTGACTCCGCCCTCAGCTGGTTCCAGTCCTACCTGTCTGGAAGAACAGAGTATGTCTCCTTGGGAGGTCCCAGACACACCCTGTCACCTGTGGTGTCCCTCAAGGGTTGGTCCTCGGACCCACTCTGTTCACCCTTTACACTCTGCCCCTTGGTCGTGTNGGGTTTTTTGTTAAGTACAATACTTTCGTCGCCGGCCGGCCGATACATGCCGCGCATTAAGTGGGCCTGTCTGTCAATTAATCCCCGGGCCACTCTTTCCCCCCAGTCCGCCCCATTTCTGGCCAAAACGTACCCCTCTCTGCATCAGTTACCAACCAGGGCGTAAGATTTGACAGACATCAGACATTTGACACCCACATCAAACACCTGTGCAAAACCTCCTTCTACCACCTCAGGAACATTGCAAAACCCCGTCCCACACTCTCCCTGTCAGATGCGGAACAACTGGTCCATGCCTTTGTCTCTCCTCAAGACTCGATTACTGCAATGCTCTCCTCATCGGGACTCCTAGCGGGAGCCTTAAGAAGCTCCAATACATACAGAATAGTGCCGCTAGGATCCTGATGAGGGTGAGAAAGTACAACCACCTCACACCCGTCCTTCATTCCCTCCACTGGCTTCCTGTCTGATTCAGGATCAAGTACAAGATCGCACTCCTGACCCATCAGTGCATCCATGGGAACGCTCCGTCATGCCTAAAATAACTACTCACATCACAAACCTCCACACGCAACCTACGTTCCACAACAAACCATCTGCGTCGCCCCCCGAGGACCAAACTCTGCACAATGGGGGATCAGGCTTTCTGTGCAGCTGCTCCTCACCTGTGGAATTCCCTCCCAGACCACCTGAGGACTCCACAGACCACTGACGCCTTCAAGAAAGGCCTAAAAGCCTTTCTTTTAAAAAAAGCCTTTGATTAAACTTTTGTTTGTTTTTATAATGCCTCCTGTAGCACCTTGGGGTTGCTTTTAGCAATGAAAGGTGCTTTAAAAATCAAATGTATTATTATTATTATTATTGTTATTATTATTAAATACTGTCTTAATACAACAAGCCGCGGGTTGCAGAGTCAGCCCGTCCACACGGCAGCGTGCGTTGCTTCAACGGAGACGCTTCCCATTCACTTTGAATGGGGTGATGTCAGGCTTTGCCGAACTGCATTGTGGTTCCGTTGCGTCGCTTTGTCTCCGAAAAAGTTTGGAAAAGTTGAGAAAAGTTCAACTTTTCAAGCTTCGACGGAAGCGGCAGCCAATCAAATCATATGCCAGTACAAGCGCTAGCCAATCAAACCGCGTGCTTGTGTGTCCGGGGCGGGAGATTAATGTGATTGGTTGTTGGTCGCGTGCCAGACACGCCCACCGGCAAGCTTCAACGCACACTGCCGTGTGGACATACCGAGGTACGTACACACGCTTCCGTTGACGCTTGAAAAGTTAAACTTTTCTCAACTTTTCAAGCGAGCTACGGAGGCAAAGCGACGCGACGGAACCAAAATGCAGTTCGGCAAAGCGTGACGTCACCCCATTCAAAGTGAATGGGAAGCGTCTCCGTTGAAGCAACGCACGCTGCCGTGTGGACGGGCCGTAACGCAGCGTCCACACGGCGGCATGCGTTGAAGCTTGCCGGTGGGCGTGTCTGAAACTCGAATCGCATGATTCTCCCGCCCCGGACACACAAGCACGCGGTTTGATTGGCTAGAGCTTGTACTGGCACATGATTTGATTGGCTGACGTTTCCGTTTGAAGCTTCAAAAGTATAACTTTTCTCAACGCACGCCGCCGTGTGGACAGGCCGTGACAGTCTGTGGTGCAATGTGTCCCAAAGCTTCATGTATTGATAGGTTAATATGAATAATCAAACAAATGACTATGTGCAATGGGAATTATCCCCAACTCTGCAGTGCAGCTTATGAGCTTTAAACGTCTTTCAGCTTGTTGTTTTGGTTTTTCGAGCCAGCAACTCATCTCCGCTCATCAACCCTGTTCCCAGCAGGTTCAGGCACTTGTTTTCAGAGAAAAGGCTCTGATATATGCTCACCACCAAACAGCAGGCAGTCAAAGTTACTAGCGAGTGAGCATGGTGGAGCTCTTAGCATGAAATCCGATATTTTCTAAGAAGTGAACCAGAGCTACAAGAGTGAATAATGACTTAATTTAGATTCACTTGACACAAATCCATATGAATACTTATGTTACTCTGCCTATTGAGGCATTTGATTGTTAACATCTTTGTCATACCTATTTTCTAATAAGACAATACGTCAGTGTATGTGTGTGTTTTTGCAATTTAACGCACATTACTAAACAACCATCCCAGCATCAAACCCCAACTCTGCCACGATCATGCTGAGGCTATTTTCCTCACAAGGCACTATTGTTTGAGTACTGCAAAAGTCATGTGAATAACTGATGTTACTTTAAAATAAGTCATGGTTAACATTACATTTTAGGGTATGGAAAAAACGATTTTAGAGCAAAACCAGTTGCGTTTCAGTTGATCCATTAATTGGCTAATAAGTGGCACTAATGGGAAATTCTATTTACAACATAGGAAGTTGTGGAAGCAAGCCCAATATAATAAAGAAAGTTTGCATTGTCTAATCTAAATCTTATTAGTCAATTATGACCTGCATGATTTATATTGAAACATAGTATCTGATTCTTTTTATAGTATTTTACTAATTGTCAAAGTAAAATGGGCTGAGTCGCCTAATATGACAAGAAGAAATTTAAAAATAAAACCATGAAGGCCTTCCATAGTCATGTTAGGCTGGGCTTGTGCAGGTGTAACTACATGTAGCCTAGTAGAATTAGGCCTATACAACACAAAGAACCTAAGCAATAGGAAGGGTTGTTAATAAGCTACCAATACATGATTTAGTCAACTTATTTGTAATGTGACACCATCTCCTGCCCTGGAACATTGCAAATGTAACGACAGACTATGGTCAGAAACTTGTTATACCCAAATGAGTCTAATAAAACTAAGAAAGCTTGACTTCTTCCAGTAAGGAGCAATACCCCTGCCGAGCCCACCTCCTGCAGCTGCTCCAGCTCCAGCCTCAGCGTCTCCTGCTCGGCCTCCAGCTCGGCGTACTGCTGCTTCAGGCTCTGGTTCTCTTCCAGGACCACCAGTCCGCACTCCGCCGCCCGGATCTTCTCTCGGTTGGCCTCGGCCAGCTCCCGGGTCAGACGCTCCACCTCGGCCCGGCATTGCTCCACCGTGTCCCCGCATCCTGCTCCACCGGCAGCCATCGCTCCCTCTCCCCCTCCTCCGGCCCTCTCCTCCCTGCGTCGGATGAGCGGAGAGCCCCGCCGGAGGGAGAAACAGCTGAGGTAGACAACAAACCTGCCGCCCCTAAAAGGAATCACAATGCTGCCTCAAATCTCATTTTTAAAATGAAAAACCTAAATATAAAATAAACATCCGTAAATCTCAATAAAGCGTTGTCATCCTCAGCAGAGACACCCATCTTCGGCCATGCAATGCTCTAAATGATGCAGCTTCTCATCTTCCTGTCCCGCATCCCCTCCCTCTGCTCTGTTTTTCTGCTTATTCACCGGCATCAGGCTACACCTCTGCCTGCAGCCGGGAGGCAAGGCACTCTTTACAGTCTATGGGCACAGTCATGGAATAAACTGTGAAAAGGAGGGATGTGAAAACGCGAATTAGTTTTAGATGCTTTCCACAACTGTATGAGCTGGGTTTTTAAATTATAGTAACACGTGGGATAAGCTATATGTTATATTGATTTAAGACTTGTATATTTTATTTATATTCAAATGTTTTAACTTGAGTTACTGTTGTTTCTATCTGGCAAAAATATATTGTAGCCATAAAGGTACATTCTAATAAATGAAATATAATTTCAATATGAGCAGAAAAAAGCAGAATGTTGTTATGTTATTTGTTCATTTATAGAACCCCATTAGCAAAACCAAGACAATAATCTATCGCCCTAAATACAATATAAACAGCAGTGTATCTTTTTTAATTTTAGTTCTAATACGAAGTCCGGCATCCCTGTTTTGTTTGTAATTTTGGTTTGTTTCAGATATACATCAATACTGTATTATTTTGCTTAAGTATAAACTATTTTTACTCAATATTATTAAACTTACATATACGTTATATACATAAACATTTATATTATACTTATAAAAGACTCTGGGTAGATACAAAAAATTAAGATAAATAATGAAATTCCATATAAGTTGTGCATTCAAACAGAGAAAAAGAGAGGTTTGCCCTTGTTTCATGTAATATTACATGAATATCACTATACAGCAGTAGGGTAATAGACATGTATATCTCTACAATGCAATTATCATTGTCATGATATATTTTTCAAAACATTATTTTACAACAGGATGACTGTATAATCCTGTCCTGGCAAAAAATGGTATCTGAAAATGTGGTTAATCTTACAGCTAACATATGGTTCATTAAAATAAAGGAGAATAAGACATAACTCTGAGGATAAACACTTTTTTATGGTATAAATGTCTGCAATTTAACAATGTAAAGAACATTCATTTGTCTTCCTGCAGGGGGCAGCAACACGCCGCAGATGCGTTTCTCCTGCCATAAAGGGCAAGGAGAAGACGTTGTCCAGCCTTCAGAATAAAAGTAATACACATTTTTTCACATTTTTAAAATTATTAAGAAAAAACGTAATGGTTATTATATATTTTTTTCTTGTTTATTCATGTGGCTTTTATCTAATTTATTTGCTATCTAACAATGTTTTTCCACTTTTAGTCTGTTTCAATATGGGTGCTTTTATTGTGAAAAACATCACACCGGAAATAATATGTTTGTTGTGTCTGGCGGAACCGGCTATATGATCTCTGCTACAGCTACTCCGCGTTGCACGTTGCTAGTTAGTTGCAATGTTGTAGCTATTAGCACGATAGCCTTTCCTTTGCTGGGAGGGAGACCCGCCGTTTCGTTTAATGAACATTTAATTCTCACTCATTCATAGTCCAACCGGCAGCCAACTGTTGACCAACGGATATTACTCACTAAAACAGTTGCTAGCTAGCTTGCTGTCTTGTCATCCTCAGCCTGCTAGGTCTAACCAGCTAGCTAGCCAGCTACCCACTAGCGTCCGAGCGTCTCCTTCTCAGTGCGAACAGTCTCCCAGCCAGCTGGAGGACCATGGCGATGAGACAGACTCCCCTCACCTGCTCCGGTCACACCCGACCTGTGGTGGACCTAGCCTTTAGTGGAATCACTCCATATGGCTACTTCCTAATCAGCGCCTGCAAGGGTGAGAGCAACGGATTGACAATAACGTTTGGCAAATACGCTTTTTACAAACATGTCTTAACGGTTAACGTAGATACTCGAAGTGGTGTCAATACATACATGAATACTAAGGCTAGCTTCGCTTTCTACCCTCTCTGTTCACAGTTAAACCATGATTATTAATTATATTTAATTGGTCAATTTAAAACCTTGAATGAATATCATTTCAAACACAAATTGCCGTTACAGTGCTCCATCAGTTGTTGCCATAGTGAGGCATTCTGTCTTATAAACACCTGTTGACACACATATCTAACCATTGTATCAATCCTCCCTACTCTCTTTCGTCAGATGGCAAGCCCATGATGCGCCATGGAGACACAGGGGACTGGATAGGAACGTTTCTGGGTCACAAAGGTGCTGTCTGGGGAGCCACTCTGAACACAGACGCCACCAAGGCTGCCACCGCGGCGGCTGACTTCACAGCGTGAGTGAGGGTCCAGACTGGAAGCAATATGTCTAAAACAATCAAGTCTTATAACTTAAGAAACATCTTTGTCTAACAACTTCCAAAAAAGAACTGGTAAAGTGGTACTGATCATGCTTATTAATAAACCTGCAATGGACATGATACACCCTGTCTCATATCCTTTTGTATTTGCTTTTTTAAATCACTGGGGGAAAAACCCTGCTTTCAAACACATTACATGAAAAATAAACAATAATCCTGCAGCTACATGAATCGTTATCAATGAAAATGTGTGTTCTGTGCTTTTCAGAAAGGTGTGGGATGCAGTAAGTGGAGACGAGGTCCTCACACTGGCACACAAACACATCGTCAAAACCGTCAACTTTACTAAGGTCAGTGAAATTAATTATTTCTGCACATGTCTTGTATTCTGTTATGTGTGCATTTTTTTAATATTTATTGTCATATTTCTGTCTCAATATACCTGTGCCTCTGCTATCAGGACAGCACCTGTTTGCTGACTGGAGGAAACGACAAGCTTCTGCGCCTCTACGATCTTATCAACCCTGAAGCAGGTAAGCCAATGTAATCAAAGAGGAGACTTGCTTATGCACAGATCCATGTCTAAACAAATAGGATTTTTATTTGATCGAGTTTAAAAAGTGTCTCCCTTTTGGGTGTCTTCATCATTTGCTGTAGATTCAGCCCTTATCAATGCATCACTTTTGCCTCCTCTTTGAATTATAAAAAGGAGAGATGACTGTTGTTTATTTTTTCTTCTAATGTAGTTAACTGTTAAATGTTTTTGTCCTTTTTAGCCCCTCAAGAGATTGCAGGTCACACCTCAGCCATAAAAAAAGCCTTGTGGTGTAACAACGACAAGCAGATCCTCTCAGCAGCCGATGACAAAACCATAAGGTACTATTTTGCGTGTCAATGACCACATCTAAGTGTCAAACTCCAATTCCACATCCTGACTGTGACTGCTCGACTTCCTCACAAGTTACCTCAATTTTGACACTGAACGCAGCAGAGACCTTATCTGTGTTTTGACCTTGTGTCCAGGCTGTGGGACAGGAGCTCCATGGAGGAGGTGAAACAGTTGAAGTTCGACACAGCAGTGAGCAGCATGGAGTATTTGGCTGATGGAGAGATTCTTGTGATCACATATGGAAAGACAATCGGTTTCTACAACGCTCTAAGGTAAGTGACTACATCTAAAAGCCTGGGTAAACAAATATGTTGATGGTGTAGACATTTAGCTTCTACACACAGTGACATTAAGCCAGTACAGCTATAGTCATTTTCATTATTTTCCAGTCTCGACCTGATCAAGACAGTTGACGCCCCGGCTCCCATCAACTCCGCCTCCCTCCACCCAGATAAAGACTTCTTTGTTGCCGGTGGAGAGGACTTCAAGCTCTACAAATTTGACTACGGCACCAAGGAAGAGCTGGGTGAGGACAGGAGAGACATTTTTCAAATTTTAGAGACACTGTAAACCTTTTTTTACGCATGCACTATATTGTGTAAAGTCAAAGGTACTTCAAATGTTTTACTGTGAATGATCCTCATATCAGACATATAGGTAAAGAGGATGTCTAAATGTTGAGTGGTTTCCTATTTTAGTAGTAGGGAGAAACCATGACAAAATATTTACAAATGTGTCCTTGTTTTCTCTTTGCCTGTAGAGTCCTATAAGGGTCATTTTGGTCCAGTGCACTGTGTACGCTTCAGTCCAGATGGTGAGCTGTACGCCAGCGGATCTGAGGATGGCACGCTACGACTGTGGCAGACAGCTGTGGGGAAAACCTATGGCCTGTGGAAGTGTGTCCTACCTGGTAATATTCCAACCGTGGCATCAGCTGACATTTAGCTCAAACATATATATTTAGCAAGGCTAAATGCTGAAGCCAGTGTGAGGTCTCTGTATGTGCAGATCCTCAATTTGCCACAAAATGCTGCCTTTTTTTAAAACAGAGCATCTCTAATGTCATCCTTTTGTGTGGGGACACAAAGTCAACTTAAGTTAGAATCTCAATCACCTATGTATGTCATGGTGAGATTTGTCAATGTTCTTTCATAAAGGAGAAAACATTTGGATAATGTTAGTTATAGAGAATTAAAGTTGAACTTCCATGAAGTTTCGGAACTTGCCATAGACAGACTTAATAAGTAGTGTTCCTTATTGAAGCAGTAGAGGGACCCTGGCTGTGATCAAAAGACAGACAAATCAGGTTTTGACAGTCTGACCGAACATCCCTCCTTTCTAAACACCCATACTTTCTATATTCCACACCTTTTTCTAACTCTTTTTTTCTGCCTTGCCCTACTCCTCAGAGGAACTGGGGTCAGAGAACTCTGAGCCGCTGTACACTACCCCCCCTGAGATCAAAGCCTGAGGAGAAAACAGTGCTGTTTGGAAACGGGATGAGAAGAGAAAAGAAAAAACAAGCGGAGGTGTGTTCCAGCTTTCTATCCAGCCCCAGCAAGGAGCCGAGTCCAGAGCATCTCCATTCACCAGGAACTGATGTGGATATAAAGACTGCCTGTCTGTCATAGACTCACCCACAATTAAACTGACAAACACGATTTTATGCAGTCATATGGACAGTATGGGCTGGAGAGTAAAGCAGTAGAGCTGTGAGTATCGGCTCATCGCTGCCTGCTTTCTCTCTGATTAGCCCAGATCTGTCTCGCTGCTTACATTTATTTTATCTTCCATTAAGCCTTGAACCCCAACGTCCAACCC